CCGTGTCAATTTGCAAACGCGCCAATTTCCCGTTGATGTTGATGGTAACAAACTTCATTCTATCTTTACCATCGTCGAAGTTGGCTCTTACTCTTCACGCAAACTTTCGTTGGGTTTGCTTTCGGGTAGAATATGCTGGCCTGAACAGTAGTTTGGACCTGCAGTGGGTCTTATGTCAACATCTATGGCACTTCTAGCAGATGTGCTTACTGAAGGGGCATCATCTCACAGATAACTTGACCTTGAGTGATCAGAGCTACCAATCGACGCCTGATTACACACAAAAAGTTTTGTGCTGCCAACAAATACAAGATTTAGGGTTGCTTCAAGTCTGGAGGTGAAGTTTGCAACATTTTGAGAAACGTTGTGTTAAATCTGTTAAAACCACCAACAACGAGCAAAAAATCAATGTGGTCTATGATACCTGAAGTGAACGGATGGTATAATTCATCTGCCTCAGCGGTGGGATGGCTGGGGAAAATGCGCATATTTGCCAACAAAAAAGCGGCTGGTAGCCATTTAAACATTCTGGTTTACATTTCAAAATCGAGTAATCAATAGGTGAAGAAGAGAAGTGAAACATACATTTTTTGGAACTGCGCCACGAGGGATTAAGATAAGTAATAACACCTCGGTATCGGTTACGGTATGCACATTGCCGGTTGACACGATTTTGAAATGTAAACCAAGATGTTTAAGTGGCTACCAATCGATTTTGCATACAAATATCTACATTACCCCCAGTGATTGTGCCTTTGAGTCCGAGGAAGTTTAGGATCAGTTCACTTCAAGTGTCATCGACCACAATGGTTCTTCTTGCTGGTGATTTCAACAGATGTGACAAAACTTTTCTCACAGACCTTGGGCTGCAAAACGTTGGAAACTCCCCCACCAGACTTGAAGCAACCATAGACCTTAAAGTTGTTAATAATGCGAAGCGGTATTTTGTGTGCAATCAGGCACCGATGGGCAGTTCTGACCACTCAAATATCAAGTTCCCTCCTATAGTGTACAGCAATGTAAATCATAGGGATATTACTTGTAGTAAAGACCGTAGGCTTAAAAGAAGACAATGTTCATCTAAGAAGACATATCAACTGCAAGAAATGATTTTAAGCAAAGATGTTAGTATATTTCTTGACGAGGACGTATCTAAATACTGTAATCAGTGAATGAGCTATATCAAGTTCCGTTTTGATACTTTCTGTCCACTGGGAACCATTTTCATCCGTGCGGATCGGTTTTCATCTCCATACCTAAAAGGCCTGCGTAGACTCAAAGAGAAAACGTTCAAAATGAAAGACCACGCTGCGATGAAATTTTTTTTATAATTCTATCAAAACTGAGTTGCGCCGTCTAAACCACCTATATGTCCAGACCATACTGGGAAATATTAAATGCCGGGATGTCTGGCGTATGCTGAAACAACTTAGCGGAGTCTCTAACCGAGTGTCAAATCCAGATGTAGGCCTGGAAGAACTGAACCGGAATTTAGTTGCTTCAATGCCAACTCCACCTCACACCCTTCTTCCCCACGATTGGATCGGCCCACAACCTCCTTACCAGGTCATTGAAAGAAATACAGTGGGCAATAAAGTACTATCTATAAACTCCAACAAAGCAAGTGGTCCGGACGGACCATCATCCGATTCTTTGGCCTAGCCTCTTGCTGACCTATGCAACTTGTGCATGCGTGTAATATTACTGACTGCTGGAGAAGTGCCAGAATTACATCGGTGCTAAATAAAGGCTCAGATAAACACCGACCAATTGCTTGCATCTCGGCAAACTTGGGGAGATTCGAGAAGATTATTCTTGAAAGGTTGCTGAATCTGATTAATCCAGATAATTTGCTACAATTTGTTTATCGTAAATTGTAGTCTACTCAAGACGCATTAGTTTATCCTGTACATTCAGTGCTGTCGTCATTAGACAACAAAGTTAAATCCATACGCATGTCTTTTCTCGGTTACAATAATGCTTTTGGCAGGGTAAACCGTGAGTTTCTTTTGAGAGATTGTGGTGGATTAAAGGTAGATACTACTGCGCCTGGTATAAGTAGTGTGGTAGTGCAAGATGACACCAACAGCGAGCCCTGCCAATTTCCCCAAAGTTGAAGATGACATCAAGATTACAGTTCCATGCGCACCAGGAGTAAACACAGAGGCAAGCACCAGTTGGGGAACACCGTATGGAGATCACGCAGATGAGCGGACGCCTCCAATGTACGGACGAACACACCTAGTGTAAGCCACTTTAGCAATAAACAATTACCGCCTGCCTCTTGGGCTCTAACAAGACCTGCACGACGCCGGAATTCAACTATCTACTTTCCACCTTTTGAGAGACTACTTTACTGGACGCGCCCAGTTTACTCGACTTGGGCGTAAAACTTCTCGCCACACCACAGACACTGGTTTTTCAAGGGCCATATTATCACCATACCACTTTTCCACCTAAATCGCCTTTACCTGCCGATGGGGTATTGATGAGATATGCAGACGACGTAGTCTTGGATATGCAACAACCGACCGCAGCTTCATCAACTAAATTATAAGCCTATCCTGGTCCAGAGCTCACTTTTTATCGCTGAAGGCATCGAAATGCAATAACATCATTTTCTCCCTACATAAAGGCCATGGTTATCAGCAACTTCTCATGGAATACCCCGAACTGCATATAGATGGTGAGAACTTGCACTTCAAAGTGTCAGTAAAGGTCCTAGGTGTAAGACCCAGTGGTGATCCATGCTGGTCACTCCATGTTAATGATCTTTTACAAAGATGAGGAGGCTTTCGTTTTATGCCCTTTGTTTTCGATCCTCCTCTGTCCTCTGCCACTTAATTCTGAGATTTATCACCGCATGTGGCTTACCACTGGACCTATTGCTCCAATGTGATATTTCCTGTTTTCTTAAGAAAGCACTTCAAAATCATAGGTAGGTCACTGATGCAATTACCTCGGTGTAGTGGGATTCCCCAGCCCACATTTGTTGAGATTCTTGTGTCCACTTACATCAATTTATGCATAAGGCTTGCTTCGAGAATACTCTTCATACTGCACTGTTTGAGTGTGCGTCAACAAACCCAACCAGACAAAAGTATAGATCCATTTTTGCCTGCACAAAGGTTTACCACTCATCCGTTATTCCATATCTGGCAGTTTTTTTGCGACCAGACAACAGTTGTCCTGGAGCTGAAAAACGACTTTGCATCGTAACCATACTGCTGTTTATGACACTTATTACTCTACTTGTGTATTTACTGCTTCATTTCTTTTAGTATATTGAAAGCATGTGGGTAACGGCTGAATATGCACCCTTATGGGTGCACAGAACACTTTCTTGAATTGAAAAATGGAAATTGAATCAAAGGCCCAACAATGAACTTCCAACCACTGTGTCAAGCGCTGTTCGCGGAGCTCTGGCTTAGCGACCAAGGCGTGAGCCGTCGACCATTATGAACCGAGTTCCACTCTTAGTTCAGGCTATCTTCCACCTGAAGAGTCCCAATCAGGACGAAACCGTCGGTCGTGTAGTGCAGTGTTGGGAGAGAGCATATCAGAAATTATTGACTAATGATGTTACATGCACTCAATTCCGTCGGAAGTAGTTCCTTTTGCTTAATTTTTAGAGTACACAGTTTCTTCGTTAGTGAAAGGACAAGGTTTACAGCTAGGTGTCTATCCTTAGACGAGGGGTAAGGCACTTAGCTAGCTTCCTCTAACATATGTTTAACGGAAAACTGGACAAAGAACAATGTCTAACGCGACGATTTATCCAATGCGGTGTTAGAGGATATAGCGCAAAATATTAAATGTCGAAGAACAATGATAAGCAATCGATGGTTGGTGAGAAGACGCAACCCGACTTAGCATTTCAGCGACCCAACTGGTTATTATAATCTGCAAAGAAAGGGTGCAGATTGTTGTGACACCTTTCTGTGCTCTCTGCCTGACGCTCCGCTGAGATGCTCAACGGAAGTAGCAACAGTATAGGTGCAACTGGTATGACTTTTACTCAACGAAAATCGGCGACATTTATAATCCAAATATACTTCCCTGTACGGACGCCTCTGTCTTCCAATAATCTGTGACTTGTCCATGATGTACGGTTCTATTCTGTTTGACTGGCTGGATAACACCTGTGCACTATAATCGGTTGTTTGTTCGTGTGATTGACCGCGAGCTTGCTCGCGCTAGATGGCTATACACAGGTGTTCGTTCGGTACGGCCACCGAACAAACAGTCTACACTAATCAAACAAGTACACACACATGAGCAAAAAGCTCAAAACGAACAAGTGAGAAGAGCAAAGGGACAAAACGAGTGAATAATTTGGTGGAAGCACCTACACGAAATACATATGATTTGGTTTATTGAATTTTCCTGACGATCCTTTTTTACACTTGCGGCTCCTACTAAGCGGAAACTGTGACGAGATTCACTACATGTTCGTGTTGGGATAGTAGTTCGCCAGGTCAGCCGAAATGGAACATTAGTCCCATAATTGCACTCAGGTAAGTCACCATCACCGCAGATAATGGGCAAGCACGAATTGGGCGTTTCTCTCTTAGTCATAGACAATTTTTATATGTCAGTGCTAATCGTGAGTCTCATCCGGGGGCATTAAACGCTGGTAACCAACTGTCACAGTCACGTCCCCCGGATGTTGTCAACATGATCAGGCTCCTTTTTATTTTGGCTGTTCCTTTTCGCTCGATCGAAGGTAGGCAACTGGCAAGCGTGAAAATCCCCCAACGTCAAGCCCTATTTCACTGAGGCAAAGTGACGTGTGATCAGTGACAAACGTGCATTGCGCTGGATCCGTCTACACGAGTTGCGAACGCCTAACAAGGGGGTATGGACATCAAGCGGTAGGAATACTGTGCATAGACGACACTACTTATTACGCAAAACTGTGGAGAGCATAAGCGATAAGACATGAGCCGGTAAAAGTCCTGGAACCGTGCGCAAGTGTAAAACCAACAGAAGCAACGAACCTCGTGTTTGCTACTCTGTGAAGTGGGAATCGGAATCGCAGCAGGCAGAAAATGAGATGTCGGAAGCAGCTCTTCTCGGACTAGACGTATGATTTCCAGTAGCCATGGCCAATGCACTCCGTTGAGGATACGGGACGCGCAGACCGTCAAGGGCAGACCACCAACAAGTGTGAGCGTCTCATTCAACTTCCGTACTGCTTCCGTCTGTGTATTCGTCTTTGAGCGTTTGGGAATCTCTTTGCGGGGAACGTGCATACTCCCAGTTATGAGAGAGATAAGTTGCGGGATGGTCGGAAAGCATGGAGGAACAGCCGAAGTGTCCCTTTCAGTTCTGGTTGGGCTACATGGAAAAATGGAGGCGAATGCATGCACGTTTACAGCCAGCAGCGGATTGGTGGCAGAAGACAAAGCGTCCGTCGCTACGTCATCGAAAGCTGACTCTGCATCATGGGCAACCGCCTGGTGCCTTGTTGCTAAGGAGTTAGCGCTGTCCGATCGCAAGAAAGCCGCCTCGTCTTCCCGGTTCAAGTAGGCATCTTTGGATTTTTCAGCAAGACAAGAGAGATTACGAACAATATCTTCTAGGGGGACGGTACATGTAGCAATGTGATTCAGTTGACGAAGACGCAGCTCGAAGGCCCATTTGCGCTGTGCGAAAAGGTCCAAGTGGGCCATGAGCGAAAGAGCTAGTTGAGCACTGAAACAACGGAAATGAAAGAAAGTCCGATAATAAAAACTGCTAGAACAGGGATAATCAGGATGAACACTTGGTTCAACGAGCGTTGGAGCCAAAACAGACCGCTTTAAAGTTGAAATGAACTAATTTTACCTAGCATCATTAGGTGTCAGCTAGAGATGAGAACCACCTCAACTACTGCGCCGTAATGCAATAGGATAATGGCAGTAAAAATTAAAACACAAACGAAACAAACAGCATTATACCTTGTTCTATTACGCATTAGAGCGGAGAACAGAATAAAAGGAATAGAGTGGGATAATGAAACTCACACCACAAACGCCATTGAGATCATCTCCCCACGCCGACATGAGTATCTAACTAATGTTTGCATCGTTTTTCGGTCCTCAACAAAGGAATCAAGTGGCACCAGCCGTGATAAGGTTCGAAGTGCAAGCCCATATTCCTCTCGACCATATCATCGACTGGATTCTGCTCCTCATCTTCCATCTACATCCCGGTCGCCCTACCAACGCATACCACTACAACGGGTGTTCTGGTATGCGTAACACATGACCAAGCTGTCGGAGAGTGGCGGATGAAATAACAGTGCTGAGTAGCCCATTTACCGTTCCTGCATCACAAACAGGGTAGAGAAAACACACACATTGCTCAAGTGATGTTCCCACCAGATTGGACTAAACTGCGAAGGCACCGGTGGTTGAACATAAACAGCTTCTCTGCACCTGTCGGGCTGATAGATCAGTTTGCTACAACCGTACAGGAGGAATAGAAGGGTTGCTGCACTGTAAACTCTATCCTTCAGTGCGAATGATGTCACGCTCATGTCATAAGTGGCGAAGTTGGGCAAAACCGTTCAGGACATCATCTTTTATTCCACAGGCGCTGATGCAGCTACCCAGATAGTTAAATATTTTAGTGAATTCTGATTGGTCCATGCTTTGAGGAGGCAGAGCACAACCGGAAACAGGCGACAGCCATTGCAAATCTGTCCATTGCTGCTTGGCATCCTTGTGAGGTGCCACAGATTAGGGTACTATCGTCGTTCACCTGGGAGCAGCTGCACAGAACCCAAAGTGTGCCCAATAAATGCATTCTCCATAACTTCGTCAATAGAGATTAAAAAGCAAAGATGACAGTGGGTATCCTGATTTCACTATTGGAGATATTGAAGGGCCGCGACAATTAGTCACAGACCATCACTCGGTCAGAACTACGCGCGCAAAGCGCTCTGGTGATGCGCGCACTTATTTTTCGGGCACACCTTTCCAAGACAGACGTTCCCAAAGAACACCTGGATCCAGAGAATCGAAGGCACCTTTAAATTTGGGGAACACGACTATAGTGCTTCAACAACTGAGGACAACTTAAGATATGATCAATATAGTCTTAATTTCGACGAAAGCTGCCTTGCTGTTCACGAATCCGGTCTTTACGGGTGAAAATCAGTTTATGAAAAACGATAGATGCAAGTAACTTGGTAGCGATAGGGATCACACTGATACCTTTATGGTTGATGCACTACGAACATAAGTCCCGTTTGAGTCACTGGAATGTAACAAAGCAACTCACGTCGGTTGGGACTTCACAGAGAAATTATGTAATGCATTTTTGGGAGCTAATTCATCGAATTTAAACAAGGCTGAGGAAGTCCATATTTTGCCTAGTGAGGGGATGTAGTTAGCATTAAAGTGGCAGATCAGCAGTGGCAGCACAGCAGAAACTGTACTCTTTTAGCTTTATTTCGAGTCCAGAAATTCAATGGATAACTTGGACGCTTAGGGAAAGCGATGAGTTAGGCGTGAATAGAGCTGCAAGGTGACTGTTCTAGACGATGAAAGTTTTGCACCAGTGAAAGAAAGGCAAACACAGATGATCATTTCGTCAATTGTATTTAAGCGAGTGAACGAACCAAATGATATAATCCGCTTGAGATACGGCAAAAAGCAGGAATGTAGGTCTAACTCGACCAATGTGTAGCTCGAAAGTGGATTTCCGTAAAAAGGGATGACATGCTAGTCGTGGAAAAGTAACACTGAGTAGAACCGAATTACCCAAGGTGGAACGAAGAAACACATGATAACATTGCCAAGAAAGCGAAGAAGCTGTACTGCACAAGCTGCTGTGTTCAGGTAACTCCGATAGTGAAGAGTAAGTAAATATAGACCAACATATAGTGAGCTCCGGAGAAGAGATGGGTAAGATTCGAAGCTCCCTTAGAGACTTCCATAAGGTTAATCACATGGAGCAAATACAAGGGTTGCTTACTTGAGCTTCGTATCTAGTTTCCGACTCAGTGGAATTTCAAAGCCCCTATGGATACCCACTATCAACAGATTGATCAGTTTCGTAGTACTGCCAGCAGAGATACAACGGTTCTTGTTTAGATGTGAATGGACAATAAGGACATCCAATTTGTTCATCAATTGAATTGAGACTCAGAGGAAACAGAAACGAATGCTTATTCACCTGCATGCTGAGCACAGGTCGTTTGAGAGTGAAATGAGATTTTAACGCACAGTTCAGAAATGTACGAGGGGGTGCAACAAACTCATGCGACAAGCACCTAAACTGATCCGGACTCTATAGGCTTCAAGCGACGTGGATCTGCTGTGTACCATGGTATTTAGCACTGCACTAAGTCAAGACACAAAAACGACCGACCTATTCAACTTTAAGGATGTTGTATGAGCAAACAGTAACAATGGCCCACATAAATGAACATCAGCAAAATGTTCACCATCCAAAGATGAAGATATGCAAGTGCGTTAGAATAAGATGCGATGGGAGGTGTAAGATAAATAAATCCCTAGCACTCTCGGGCAAATGAAATTGAACATCGGACATCTAGGAAATGCGCATGTCATCAAAAGACCAACAGTGGTTGATCTCATGAAATGATAATAGTGCTTGCAAACTTCTACACCCTCAACAGTACCCATCTGCTTCCCTTTCCACTATTTCTTGCCCAGTTTGTTTTAAATATGTAAACCCATACATCCACCTCTCAGGTTTATTTCACGTTCTTTCTCCGGTTCGCTCGGTGTGCTTTCGTCTGCGCTGTTGCTTGATGTCCGATGATTAGAATTATTGCTGAGCTCGGATTGTGTTTCACATAGAGGCATAAGGTCAGATTCGGGAATTTCGAAGACTTAGAATTACCCGAAGAACAGGTTAACGGCTACCTTCGCAAGTGACTGCGCTTTTCACTAATCTTTTGTATACCCTTTTCTTCTACATGACGGTTGATAGTAAACAGTCGTTAATGTACCGCGATTTGCATCACAGGCATATCGTTTATGTAATACGGAAGTCAGAATTGTCCATCGAAAAGTTGACACTATCAAAAGCACTACTAAACCTATTTAGGTTAGGCATCAGAGCAAATCATTATATCATTGTACACGTCAGCTAGAGGTAGGAAACACCTCGGCTACTGTGCCGCAAAGGAAACGAAATAAAAATGATGTGTCTACTAAGCGCAGTGTGAGAGAAACCGAATCGGCACATGGAACAGCACGATGAAGGCGAGAAAGGTAACGGTTTTGTCGACACTGATGGTATACAAACTAAGACGAGACACGTTTAACAGTTACAATCTCATTTTGATCGAAGATTGCCAACTACAGAAATGTAGACAACGCATGTAGACTCAAGACAGTAACGGAGGACGCCGAAAAAAAAACTAGTGATAAATTCGACAAAGTAGCGTCGTTTAATGAAAACCAGAATATACAGCAAACGGCTGCATAGATGGGCGCTTGGAAAAGTGTCTGGCTTGGAGTGCAGATGCAGTCTAGGCAGAAGAAGAAATGCGGATACGCGTGAATTTCACCGTGAGACAAGTGATGTAACCTTGGAGGGTCCCGTACTCAAGAGACCTCTGCGAAAACATAAACAACTAGGAATGGGGAGTGCATAGGTGACTCAAGTGTAGCGGATAGGTTGGCCATGATAATGGGAGAGAAATAAGGCGCAGAAAACGTGAAAACGCAGAAAATAGACCAAAAATGTAATTATCAAGTGAAAAATTAGTAGGGTACCATGTACAAGGATTTCGAATGACATAACAAAACGTGGGTGTGGGTGATCTCGGAGCCTCGATTAAGGTACAAGACAAGTATATCGGTCAGTCTTTAGGGTTCTTAACCAGACAAACACAGTTGGCCACCTTAAGCCTTTTTTCCACAAAACAAAACGTCCGGAAACGACGTGAAGCCGCAGTGGGTGGTTATAAGAGGCGTACGATATATATGACACGGTCAAAGTAGGCTGATGAGGTTCACAAAAGTAGGTATTGTTACTGTACGCCGATATCGCACTGCATTCACATGTAGTCGAAGGCCACATGACACTTGTTGATGCGCGCATTAACCGGTAAACTGAAAAGCGATAGCTTTGCAGATGGTGGGCTAAAAGCAGATACTACTGCACCAATAATCAGTAGTATGAAATTAAACTAAAACAAAAAAAGCAAGATGTGGAACAGAGGCTAATACCAACACTGAGGTAGGAGAGTTTGGGAGCCGGATATCTGAACTAGGAATGGCTACAGAAGCACCTTGAGCCAAGCAGTCTACAGAAGACAGTCCACAGCGTGGTGGAACTTTTGGTGGTCAGAGCCGATGCATATGGTTGTTGATATTTAGGTTCTACAAATTCGGTTCAGTATCCGGGCACTGAAGTGCAGTTATGCACATCAGCAAACTAATAACAGTGTGGTTGGATGCAAATAGATGTTAGGGAAAATGGAATCAAGGTGCGTTAAATTAATCAGGATGGAATGAAAATCAACAGATAGATGCAAGAAAGCGAACGCGGGAACGCCACTGGCAGTGCAACTGCGCCATGTCTGATAATATCCCCAAACACAGGCGTGGACCATCTCGAAGACTTAACGACGACACGCATCGGACTGAGCAAGTTGCAGTTAATTTCCATAATCGACTGTCACTCTCGCTCGGGGCTTCGCCCAACTTGGTACAGTAAATGTGCAATGC